CGACACGCGACAAGCGCCACCCTCGCCCCGCGTGATGAGGTAGGGGCCTCCCAATCCTTCCCCCGACCCTGCCCTTCGGGGAGGGCACGCGGCGGGCGAGGGTGCCCCTCAGCCGCCACCGCCTCCCCGGGTTTCGACCCCAGGTGCTGAAGAGCCCTGGCCCCACCTTGCACCAACCCCAGCCCTCGACTCAGGCGAATCCAATCACCGTCCGAGAGGGGCGGCCCTCGCCGCGGAGGGCCCCTGCCGCCCTCCAGAGTGACACCACCAGCGCCCAATAAGCTCTGGAAATCCCACATCGCCCGTCCGCTCAGGCCGGGAGGGGAGAACCAAACTGAGAGCCGGAGGCGGGGCGGTGGGAGGGCTCGGATCTCGCTAGGAAAGCGAAAGGCGGAGGAGAGTGAGCGGCATAGTGTAGCCGGCGTCACCATTTTACGGGGCTGGTCTTTATCTCTGTGGAGACCAGAGAGGCCAGAGGACCACTTATACGGCCACACTGATGTGCCTCAGGGATGGCCTCCTTTGCGCCCTCGGATTGGGCCCCCGAACCCAGACTGGGCTCTCCCATTGGTGGGCGGAGCTGTCCGTCAGGCCAGGGGCATGCTGGGAGTTGTAGGCCGGTAAGTTTTCCGGCCGCGGCGGAAGTGAACGTGCTCGTTTCCCCTCGGGCCTAGGGTGGGAGCTACGGGGGGCCTCGGGCCTCGCTCGCTGGCTGGCACCCGGCATTTTCCGGGACTGAGGTCTCCTCAGACCCTGGTTCTGGGACCTATTGGAACGAGGGCCGGCATGGAGGTCTTCGTTGGGCCTGCGCCGGGAGCTCCCTATTCTCTGGGGCTGGAGAAACTGCTGTTGTCACCCAACAGGCCCAGGGGTGCAAATGACCTCAGGGGTTAAGTGTTTGTCACCCAGATTTCTACAGTTATGCAGAACAGAAACGGTGTGTGTCCCGCTGTTTTTATCAGTCAGTCAAGGAGGGAGCGCCTGGTCACAATGGGATAGTGGAGGCTGTCGAGGAGGGATTAGCCCTTTGTGGGCTCACGAACTGATGGGGCAGGTGAACTCGCTGAGCGCCCTTTATAATTCCTTGTGTCCTTCCTAAGTGTCCTTGAGTCTCCTGGCTCGGCCGGGTGGGGGCCTTGCTAGACCTGGGACCTGGGGCCCGTGCCTCCCAAATTCCAGAAGTGGTGCCACTGGCTCCTCGCTGCGCCTCGGTTACCTCCAGCCGCGGAGGCTGCCGTGGTCCCGACCCCCCTCCTCGGCTTGGACCGAGGGACAGCTGTCTCCTCGATGCCTCCTTTACCCATTTCTACTATAGGCACGGTGCCCAGAGCCTAAGCTTTAAAAAATAAGGGAATCTGAAAAAAACAAAACGTACGGACTCCAAAATAGGAAAAAAAAAAAAATAAATAAACGCACTACTTAACAAAAATGGAAACGTTAAGCAGTTTCCAAAATACATGCGACGTGTCCATGAGGCCAGTGTCCCTTATACAGGGTGGGGCAAAAGTAGGTTTACAGTTGTGAGTCTGCAGAGCAGCTTATTCTTGTATTATTGTTTATTAATTACTGTATTTTCCATACCAACTGTACACCTACCTCTGCCCCCCCATCCTGTATATAAAAATTTCACGTGATTTCCAAAAGTAAGCATGCTGACAGAAGTATTAACGTCGCCCTCACCTAGAGTCCTTCAGCTGCTGGTCCGGTCCACACCTGCGATGACTCCAGCCTGCTTTCTCCAGGGTGCTGGAGTGAGTCACACAGACTGCACACCTGGGTTTCCCGAGGTGTTTATATCTTGCTCCGACTTCACCTCCGCCCTCCCTGACCACCGGCGAAGCCTCTCTTTATCTCTTATTCATGAGCTGTTCCATCTCCCTCCTAGGCGTTCCAAGCTTCTCTTGTTTAAGAAGTGCCTTATAATTTACATTTGCGTTATCTTGTTTAATCCTTTAACGACTGTATGAGGAAAGCCTCAGAGAAGTCTGGTGGTCAGCCCAAGGTAATACATCTGAAGACCTGAGCTCAGTCTCATGATGCCTTTTTTTAAAATTCTACCCCAACCACCTCTTTCTTTCCTTTCCCAGCATCTTAGGTTATTTTAAAAATATATTATTATTTTTTTTTAGATAAAGCATCTTAGACTTTAATTGAATGAGAAAAGCAAAGTTATTTGGAGAACTCCCTCACTTTCCACCTAAAAATGTGATTCTTCACTACTCCTCTCATACCCCTCCTGACTGCCTTTCTTCTGTTCCAAGGTTGACCCCTCAAGACCTTTGCTCTTTAATTCCAGCCTCTCCTGCCTCCTCAAAACCTTGCTGCTTCTACATTTTCTAAAAAAAATTTTTTTCAATTACAGTTTACATTTAATATTATTTTGTGTTCGTTTCAGGTGTACAGCATAGTGGTTAGAAAATCGTATACTTCACAAAGTGTTCCCCCTGATAGTTCCAGTGCCCAGCTGGCACCATACATATTAATTACATTATTATTGACTAGATTTCCTATGCTGTACTTTACAGCCCCATGATTCACTCAGTTCTTTAGTAGCACGTTCTGCCAAGAATTCCAACCAAGTCTTAAAGGGGGAAACAAGTTCCCCCATTGACTCAGCTGCCTTTCAACTTATTCACCACCCTTATTTTCCAGCCCCATGTAATTTATTTTTATAACTCAATATGTCCCAAATAATTCCTTATCCGAAGATATTTTTCCCATTGCTTTTCAGAGAGAGTGGAAGGGGCTAAGGGTGAGAGAGAAAAAGAAACATCCGATGTGATAGAAACACATCAATGGGTTGCCTCCTGCATGGGCCCTGAAGGGGGCAGGGGATCCAGCCTTCAACAGAGATATGAGCCCTTGGTTGGAATCTAACCAGGGACCCTTCAGTCCACGGGCTCATGCTCTAGCCACTGAGCTAAGCCAGCTGGAGCCCTGCTGCCCCCCTATAAACTAACTTTTGACTGGCTTTCCTATTGAAGCTTTTCTCTTATAGATCTCAGGTGACGTGGTCTTTGGCCTTTTCTCAGTACTCAGTCTCTTAGTATTCACCATCCTTAGGCACTTTGTCATCCTTCAATCATGTTTCCTTTGGGACTCCTGAAACTCTACTCTCCCGGCGGCTGACCCCCTGAGCTGCTTCTCACACCCTCCTTCCGCACTGGCTCCCCTCCCTCCTCTTTCCCTACCTTTTCTCCCTGCTTTTCTCCTGATTCCCAGGTTCACACGTTCACTACCCACCCCTGCCCTGAGCTTTGGTCACAAGCATCTCTTACAAATCTGCACCCGTATGTGTCCCCTTCACCTTCAGCCCCTCATATGTGAAACTTCATTGAACTCCTTTGCTCAGTAAACTGCGCTCTCTGAATTTTAGTCTCCTGAGGACATCATGACTCTCCCTTCCCTGCAGCTCGAAACCTTATAGTGCTCCTGGCCTCCTTTATCTCTGTCCATATCCAGGCAGCTACCAATTTCTTTCCATCCTCACTGCCAACACCTTACTGTGTAGAATTTTAGGGTGATGCAGGACTTAATCATCCTCACCTCCAGTATGACAACAGTCTCTGAATTATCCCTCCCCTCCGTTTTTTTCAATCAATCCTACACAGCTTTTCCAAATTAATTGTAAAAACATGGTACAAGTCAGTTGATCCTGAAAGCGTCAGTAGCTCCTTGTCTCCGTAGGATAAAATCAGGATTCCTTAACAGATCCATAGCACTGGCCTGTTAGTTATTCCCTGAACATTGCTAAGCACACTTCTTGGTCTTTGCCGATTTTGCCTGCAGAATTTGTTCATCTTTATTTAAACCTACCCTTCCTTCTGTGTCAGGCCTGTCTGGAACTTTCCCTGTTACTTCAAGGCTTCAGATTTGAGCTCCAACAGCTCTCTTGCCTATATTTTTCACTTTTAGGTTTGTGCTACATTGTAGTAGCAAGTGTTTTTATTTATTACATATATCTGTATGCATGTGTATCTGTATACATATGTAACATATAATACATGTATACATATATACACACTATACACACATACACACATCATGTTCCTTATCTCTCTATTAATATGAAACTCCTTTGGCAACCAGCCCAGTGCCTTCACCGCAGACGTCTAATAAAGACCTGTTATGGATGAGGCAGGGAATGAGGGTCCCAGATAAAGTAGAACAAACAGGACCACACCCCACCAAGGGTCCGTGGACTGTGCAATGGAAGGTGATAGGCGGTGAGGTCCGGGGAGCGGGTTAAGGATCCTCCTCTCCCGGAACAAGTTGAAGGTTTTATTCTGCTGCGTCTTCCTGGGCCCCCAGGCAGCAGATAGTTACCGGCAGGTACGAAAGCCATGGAATCAGGGACAGGATTGATGGAAACGACCAGGCCCATCAGGGTGTCTGAAGAGCTTCAGGCCGCTCCCGCAGCCCCAGGCAGGGAAAGCACCAAGGGCAAGGTGGCCAGGAAGGGAGGGCCACGAGCCATCAGGAAGTCGGGCGGGTCGGGACTGGGCATTTGGCTTGGTCACCACCACCAGAGACCGAGTGGATGTATAGAAAGTGAACCGGAGGGCGATGGCAGACTCCTCTCTGACCAGCACTCCATCCCTCCTTCCTCATTTCAGAGGCAGGAGAATCCTTTCGCGGACAAGTGCGCTCTGAAGCCCAGCCTCATCTGTGTGCTCCTCTGTCTCCATCCTTTCCTTTCTCGTGTTAGTGCAAGTTCTTATTGTGCTTTGGATGGTACTAATTAGGGTCCCCGTTTCCAGTCCATTCTCTCTAACCCTATTAGATACCTTTCTGAAATTCCGGTTTGATAGGATCTTCAGTGGCTACTCAGCACCTCCATTTATTCATCAAATATCCTGTAAGCACCTGGAATATGTTTTCCCCAAATGCCTTCATGGCTTGCTCCCCACTAGAACAGTAAGTTCCATGAGGCCAGGGGCTTATGACTCTGTGCCAGGACCTATCGTGTAGGACAAGCAAAAGCCCCTGCTCTCCTGGAAATTATCTCCTCGGAGGGGCTGCCCTTGACCCTACCCCCTGCCAGCCCGCCAACCTCCTGTCTTACACTGCCCTGCCCTGACCCCAGCATGCACCCTGAGCGGCAGCCTCTTTTAGGATAGTCCAAGGCACTTGCCCTGCTTAGGACACCCTGCCTGCTCTCCTTTGTCTAATTTCTCTCTACCCATTCGTCCAAGCTCAGCTCTCAGCCACCAGCTTCTCCAGGAATCCTCCGTCGACCAAGTCTGTCAGGTGCTCGTCTCTGTGCCGATGGTACTCTGATAACCTCTACTCGGTCTCAACAGTCTGCGTTTCAGCTTTATACCTGCCTGTCTGATTCTGCCCTCTCCGTACCCCCACCCCCTCCACACTGAACGCTTGTTTTATTTCTACATCCCAAACACCGGGCACAGTGTCTGAAACATGCTATGGGTTCATAAAGGAGAGAATAAACTGAGACTCATGCTAATTTCTAAGAAACCGGTGGTCATGGCAGGACAGACGACCAGGGAAATGTGTTTATTTCAGATAGATCCTTTTTGAGTCCGACTCCTAAAACAGAGTCTTTAGTGCCATCTGGTGGCAGTAACTGCAGTGAAACGCTTGTGTAGCTAATAAAGCTTGGACATTGCACCCTCCTGTTTTGTTTTGTTTATTTTGAACCAAGACAGAGAAGGGAGAACTTGCTTGCCTTGCATTATGGCAGTTTGGTTTTTATCTATAAGTTCACTGGACTGTGAGATAATTCTAGTTGTGAGATATAACAACAAGCACAAATAGCCCCTTATAACTGATATATTGTGATAAATGGACAACTGTTCAGTTTTGAGAAGGTGTAGGATGAGATGGCTAGAATGATCTGAACTTTGGAGCTCTCCTTGTGTAGCTGCTTTTAGGCCAGACTGGAACTAAATGAGACATATGCTCCATTGTTACGTACCCTCTCAGAAAAAATTCTTTACTGTCTATCCAAGGTCTCCTAACATTTACCTTGTCTCTTTTCACTTGACTCCTAGTAGTCTGACCAGATGCCCTGCTGTCACCCAGACATTCTGTAGTTGATGTAGTCAGGAAGCTGTACCCAGTCTTAACTAGCTTGGCATAAAGATGTTCTTAGAATATTTACACTTTATTTATTATACACTCAATTCATCTCTTTCTGTGAATTCCTTTTTCTGTGTTTGTCAAGTAATAAAGCTCATTAGTAACCTTTTTGAAATAAATGTTTTAAGAAGCAACTGATACATTATATTAATGTGTTTATTTAAAAATTAATTTGGCATACGCTGGTTTCTCTTCAGATCGCATAAATCTTTCTCCTTTTAAAAATTAATTTGGATAAGTGCTTTGTGATTACATTATCTTTAATATAAATTTATCTTCCATATAAAATATATACTGTTAAACAGGTAATGATATAAAGAAAATGGCACATTTAGAGACTGGATTTTGTGCTGCGTATGGCAATAATTCTTGTGATCAAAATCAGCAGCAGCTGCCCTGGCCAGTTTTCTCAGTGGTTAGAGCGTCGTCCCAGGGACTGAAGGGTCCCAGGTTCGATTCTGGCCAAGGGCCTGTATCTTGGTTGCAGGCTCAATCCTCAGCCCTGGTTGGGGCGTGTGCAGGAGGCAACCAATCGATGTGTATCGATCGCATCAATCTTTTCTCTCTCCCTCTTCCACTCTCTGAAAAACAATGGAAAAAATATCCTCTGGTGAGGGTTTAAAAAAAAAATCAACAGCAGTTTGGAGTGTTTATACTGTTGTATTAGAGAATGGATCATAAAAGGCATGTTTTGCACTCTTTATAATATTGCATTATAATTTAACATGCGGTGTTTTCCTCTTAGGTTTCTTCTATTTTTATATTTAATGAACATATCATCTTGCAAAATTAGTTAGGAAAATTTTGACTTAGAAAAGACCCTTTGTCTGGAATATGCTTACCCCAGGTATCTTCATGGCTTCTCCTTATCAGAATGATAAGTCTATTGAATTCTCTGTGTATCCATAGTATTTAGATGCATGCCTGGCCCATAATTGGAGCCCAATAAATATTTGGTAAAATGGAGGTATTAGAAAATTGAGGCACAGCTCGGTTAAGACATTGGTCTAAGGTCACACAGGAAGCTGCTGGCAGAAGTGGGGCAAGAATCCATGTCTTCTGCTTCCTGCTCTGTTGAGTGGTTTAATGTAACACCTTTCCTGCCCTTCATCCAGGCCCCTGAGTCTCCTGACCTGGGCCCTTTGCTTTGAAAGGACCCATTCTGGCCCTTTCCTAGTCACAGTTTTTCCCCTGGGGCCTATGGAATTCTAAGAGCACATCTCCCCACTCTCCCTTCTTTTGGAAGAGCTGTTAGAAGTGGTAAGCAAGTTAATGCCTCCCTCCCCCCCCCCTTCTCTGAGTGATGGGACCTGAAAATGATGACTGTAAAAGGCTATGATTCGACATAGTGGCTTTTCTAATTCAAATGACAGCTGACTTTCCTGAGCTAAAGTGCATCACATCTTGGTGACAGCATTTAGAGCATGAGCAGATTATAATACATCATGGCATATGGAGAAGTCTCTACATTAGGTCCAGGATTGCTGCTAGGGAATATAAATAAATAATGTTCCCAGTTGCAAGGAAATATAAACAACTCCCACCAACTGAGGCAAGGCCTAATTATTTCCATATTGACAGCAACCGTTTTTTCTAAGTACCTATTTTCTAGGTAGCATTTTAATCTGCACTGCATTTTAATAAATGCTTCACTTTTTTTGCACAGCGTGCAGGGTCTAAAAGCTTTCCCTCCTCTTATTAATGAGGAACACATGGCGTGTTCAGGAGACCGGTGTGATAAATCCCTCCTGTTCTTCAGTGCTCCACATCTCTCTTTTAGAAGATTCAGAAACTTGTTTGGAAGCTGCTCTTGCATAGAAAAAACACCGTTTTCTCCAATATGTGCCCAGTGTGGCTTGGCCCTGCCACTGCTCTAGACTTGCGCTGTCCCATATGCGAGCCACAAGCACTTGAAATGTGATTGTCCCTATTATGGCCTTTGTCATATAATATTATACTTGCACATTAAACTTATCTGTGTTCACTGGACTGTGAGTTCCTTAAAGGCAAGGATTATGACTTTTTTTTTCATCTTTAGTCCTTTGCAGTTACCACAGGGCCTCACAAAATATTTATTAAATAAAACAATAAATTTTGAGATGCATATTTGTTTTATATAATTCCATTTAAAAGGAAAAAACAGCCCTAGCCAGTTTGGCTCAGGGGTTGAGTGTTGGCCTGTGGACCTAAGTGTCCTGGGTTCAATTCTGGCCAAGGGCACATACCTGGGTTGCAGACTTGATTCCCACCAGGGCTGCGTGCTGGAGGCAACCAGTCTATGTGACTCTGTCACATCGATGTTTTTCTTTCTCTCTCTCTTCCTTCCACTCTCTCTGAAAAGCAGTGGAAAAAGTATCCTCAGGTGAGGATTTAAAATAATAATAATAATAAAATAAAAATAAAAGGAAAAAACAAAAAATAAAACCTTGATTTTATTTATTTATTATTATTTTTTAAATCCTTATCTGAGGATATGTTTTTGTTGATTTTTAGAGAGAGAGAAAGGAGGAAAGAGAGAGAGATATCAATGTGCAAAAGAAACATCGATGAATTACCTCCTGTACGTGCCCTGACCAATTGAACCTGCAACCTTTTTGGTTTACAAGACGATGCTCCAACCAACTGAGCGGCCCAGCCAGGGCTAAACCTTTATTTTATATAGCTTGTAAAGCTTTACTGCTGATAACAGTATAATTCCAGGTTAGATTTTTATAAATATTAAAAATAATTCCCAGAATTCCTGTTATTTCCCCGGTAAAACTCTTGGTGAGTGTCCCTGACAGTCCCAGGGAAAAATGGTCGGCTGTTTCTCCAACAGAGCTCTGTTTCTGCCTCTACAGTAGAGCATCCTGGGGGTTGGAGTGAGGAGATATAAAGAAAGCAAGGGTGTTTGGGGTTCAGTGAGAGATACAGGCTCATGAGTGGTATTAATAATTTTCCTTACGTTTGTATCATTTTAAAAATAGTTCACAATGCAACTTCACATAGTTTACTCCTTACAAAAGCCCTGTGAGGTAGATATTATTAACCCCCTTTTAAGGATGCTGCTAATAAAAGCCAGAATGTGCTACGAAGGCCAGAGGGTCTCTTTTTTTATTTTCTAGACTTCAGGTAATTTCCCCATATCTGGGGCCCACCAGTTTAAAACCTATGGCACCTTACCAAACCTCACCCCTTCCCTTTGTATCACATTGTGCAGGTGCAACCCAGGCTGCAAAATCATCTTTCTCCATCAGGAACTACTCTCTCATGAATGATGTACCCCGGACCGAAAACTCCTCAAGTGAAATGCATGAGATGAGGTAAGGTCAATGTTTTTCTAACTTAGCAGATTATTGGGCATATCTGTATATTTACCCAACACAAAGGCTGTGACTGCAGCGACGTAAAATGTGTGTGCGGTGGACAGAGACTGGAGGGCAGGCACAGGCATTGTGCTCATTAGAGTACTGGGTTTAGGAGTTATTTTTCCTCTCTAAATTACAAATTGTCTATAACGTTTAGAGTACGTACACACCCAAGCTCTTTTGCACGTTAGTTAAGGAAAGCTAAGGGTTGAGTAGCCATTTTCCTCTGTCTTCCAGTCTCCCATCAAGAACGTCTCTTTCCCATCTCCTCTCAGAAACACGCAGTGGCGGGTGGCCGCTCTCTACCTGAGCACTCGGCCCTCGTGAGTCCGGTGCAGCTGCGCGTGTCCTCAGAGAACCCCTCTAGCAAGAGCGCAGGGGGCTGCCCTGCTCCTTCCAATCTGCTTGGAAATTTCCCCCCAGATAAGCCCTCTTGTATGTTACATTATTTAGCACTAGAGGTGAGTGTGTTTGTGTTCTTTTCGCATGAATTTGGCCAACTGTAGATGTTTTCAGTCTTCGAGAGCTGCAAAAAGAATTTTAGTAAAGGGGAAAAAGACAAAGAGAGAAAAAGTATTTTCTATCCTGAGAGCCACAGGACAGAAAAGATAGTAACCTACGTCTAGCCCACAGACAGCCCGAGCGCTCGGCAATTTAGTCTAGTCACATAGAGCCAAACTGCCCCATCACTCAGCTCTCCTCCTTTGAAGATTGGGCCCACGCTGGTTTTATTTTCCATCTTTTCATGCTCTGTGGTCTTTCGCAACATTTAAAATAGCAACCTGCAGTTCGGGAGGCCATTAGCCAATTCAGTTTCCTTAGCAGCATCTACCTGCTGAGCCATCGTGAGCCAGTTTTCAAGGGTCCTCTGACCTGGTTTGAATCAGTAGCTATTTGGACAAGGCTTTCATCGTGTGCCAACTGTTGAAACATTAAACATTCTTGGTCAAATTAGGGGGTAAAAAAGCAAAGTTGTTCATCTTCTCTGTATGGTTGCTTTGATGTTCATTTGCCCTGCCCAACACATGTACTTAATAATAGCTCATTTTTATTAGTTCTTTTATATATGCCAGTGTTATGAGCTAAATTGTGTTCCCCCAAATTCATATGTTGAGTCCTAACCCCCAGTACACCTCAGAATGTGACAGTATTTGGAGACAGGGCCTTTAAAGAGGAAATTAAGGTTAAGTGAAGTAATATGGGTGGATCCTAATCAACATGACTGGTGTCCTTATACGAAGAGGGACACCAGGGATGCATGTGCACAAGGAAAAGGCCACGTGAGGACACAACAAGCAGGTGGCCATCTGTAAGCTAAGAAGGGAGGCCTCCGGAGAAACCAGACCTACTGACACTTTGATCTTGGATTTCCAGTCCCAGAACTGTGGGGCTGGAAAATAAATTTCCATTGTTTAAGCCACCCAACCTGTGGTATTTCATTATGGCAGCTCTAGCCAACTATTACAGCCAGGCAAGGTAATAACTGCTTTTTATGAGCTATCTCTTTAATGGCCATAGTTACCAAATGGGGCAGGTACTATAGAGACAGGGCTTCCAGTACAATGTTTTCCCGTAGCAGGAACCCTCTCAGGATGCTCAGACCTGACCCTGAGAGAGGGTCAGTAGAATACTCTGGCTCAGAGCTAGACGAGGTGGGGAAAGGGTGAAATGGAGCCAAGCACTTTCCTGATACACGCATCTCTACCCTGATTGTGTTCGTGTTACTCTTGGTTCATTATATTAAGAGAGACTAGTAATACCCTAATTTACATCAGTGTTAATTCTTACAAGGCTTTCTTGATTGAACTGATAAGCCCCTTCTGATCATTCACTATTCATTTCTAAGTTTTTCCTCTATGCTGGTCGCCCTTGCTGAGAATCACTAGTCTATACTTTGATACCCCAAATATCTCTCACTAGTGTGATGTTTTTGTTTGATATTTTTACTTATAGCTTCATTTCAATGAAGTAAGGATTTGCCTCCGTGGGAGGGCCATACATTAAGCTAAGGAAAAAGGTAATCAATAAATTACCTTCTCGTGGGCAGCTAGGTGCCAGGGAGCATTTTTTATTGGGAGGGGGGCTGAGTTTGATGGAAAGAATGGTAGAAACACTGAGAGGACTCAGGGCCTAGAGGAGGGTTGATTGGGCCACATGGGAGAAAATGGGTGAAAGGAAAGTTGAGAGGAATTGAAGACAGTAGTCATTTAGCAGCTGTGACTTGGCTTCTGTGGCACCTACTGCCTCTCAATAGAAATTGCCACCTTTATGTTGTCACTTCCAGCCTCACCTACTTAAGGCTCCTGAACCATCTCATCAAAGTCATATTAAAGTACCAGAAGGTCTGGAATTTTGTCAAAACCTAAATAGTTCTCCCTAAAATAACACACAAATGGTTACAAATAAAGTTTGATAACTGCACATGTGGAGGCAAAGAGAAAGAAAATGGTCTGAGTCTGCCGTTGCTCACAGGCTGGACTAACTGAGCATCACTTTTGTATTGTTCTAAAGAAGGGATCTAGGACCACAGGACCCAAAAAGTGCTTATTTGAAGTATTGTTTAGAGGTTTGGATAAGGGGACTTATTGAAAATGCTAGAAATACCTCTCAGGCCAGGCAATTCGATTTGAACGGAAGAGATAAAATAATGCTGAAGGTCAAGTTAGGACTTTGAGAAGACTCAGGTATATCATTGTCTGGGAGAGCCATGCTTTTCAGTAGACACAGGGGCTCCTGCAGTGATAAGTACAGACCCCTCTTCTAGGCTGTGACTTAACTGCTTTGGCCCAGCAGACACCACCAGTAAACAAGGCTTCCTGGGAACATCTGCTTGGCCCTCTTTCAAGAGCAAACTTCCAAGTCTGCCTGCGCCCCTCCTCATTTCCTCCTCATCTTCAAGGGAGTCCGAGGACACAGCAGTGAAGAGCAGTCGGCAAGACAGCGTGTGGCTTTGTGCTAAACTGCGGGTATAGATGAAAGGAGAGAGGGAAATCAGGGCGCACCTGACCGCTCAGAGCCAGCTTCGTGGGGAAAGAAGAATTTTTGCTTGAGGGCAGGTAGAAAAGGTAGAGCACAGCTAAGGTTCTGTTTTTGACTGTTAATTTTCACTCACGGCTGCCATACTGAAACTCCCGAGATGACTGATGGGAAGGACGACATAAGACAAAGTTAAAATGAGCAAGGAGCTCTGACACATAATAAGAGCCCGAATCAGAGCTGCCAGTCGGATGCATGGAGACTTCCCCCCTGGGGGGAGGGTGGGAATCATGTGTTTCACCAACAGAACCAAAGCACACCATGCTGCCAGTGGGCAGAAGCCTTATTAGGCAGTAATATCCCCTGCACGCCCCCCCCCCCAATTAACAATT